CCGACCAAGGGTTGCCCTGCCCATCCCCTCACACTGCCATGGCCACCCTCACCTCCTTCACTGACCCTCCTCCATCACACCCAGCCAAGGGCTGCCCTGCCTGTCCCCTCACACCACTCACACTGCCATGGCCACCCTCACCTCCTTCACTGACCCTCTTCCCTCAGGCCCGACCAAGGGTTGCCCTGCCCATCCCCTCACACTGCCATGGCCACCCTCACCTCCTTCACTGACCCTCCTCCATCACACCCAGCCAAGGGTTGCCCTGCCTGTCCCCTCACGCTGCCATGGCCACCCTCACCTGCTTCACTGACCCTCCTCCATCACACCCAGCCAAGGGTTGCCCTGCCTGTCCCCTCACGCTGCCATGGCTGCCCTCACCTCCTTCGCTTCTTGCGGCCAGATTTCTTCTTCTTCTTCTTCCCCCGGGCTGGTGGCGGCCTCTCCCCATCACATGAAGGGCTGAGGAGGGGGGAAAAAAACAAACAAACATCAAAAATAATAAAAATATAAACCCTAAATCAACTCCTGTGGGACTCTGTCTGCCATCCCCACCTCAGGGACATGGGGCACCAAGATCAGTGTTCATGGTGGACTCGGGGCACTAGTGATGCCTAATTACCCTCTAACAAATTAGTTGGTCACTGTTTAAAGGGTCTAATGGAGCTATAACAAGACAGCTACACCACAGCAATGCTGATTATTTAAAACATGTTTGCTAAGGTTAACGACTCTGTAACAGATTTATAGGTTTTGTTGCTCTTTGTAAATATGCTTTAAATAATTAATTGGCATTTAATTTGCACACAGTAATTATCACAACCAGATGCATCTAACTATAATAAAGACTTGACATGTGTTAAGTAGCAATTGATTAGAAATATATATATATTTATTGAGACACTATGGTAATTGAAGGAGATATGCATCTCTTATACAGTTGTTAAAGCTTCAAAATAAACCCTCCTGTAAATTAATTTCTTTTTTAAACATATGATGTCGAATTGCATTATGCTTCAATGAAAAGCAAATATCATGGTTAATTAATTCAAAGCACTGGGCTGAAAAAATGACAGATACTCTGTGGCTACTCATTAACTAAAGCAAATGCTTGTAAAGACAGGGACAGCTGGTGGCAGCCTGTGAATCCCCAGGTCAATCCCAAATCAGTCCATGGATCCCCAAATAGATTCCCAGGTGGATCCCCAAATGGATCCAGGACCAAAGCTTGTGGGGGCACAGCCAGCTCCCCAGGGCCTCTGAAAAATCACTGCTGGAAATGAGGGTGCTGGGTGTGTGCCTCAGTTTCCCCACTTCTCCCCCTGCCAGTGGGAAGAGCCAGGAGCAGGTAATGAGTGGAAGCAGCCCCGTGTTTGGAAAATACTGTGGGATCTCCACTACAGAAACAGACCAAAAATTGAGCAGCTTTCTGTAGAAAGAACAAACGTTATTGCTAATAAAAGTCCTAATGCACAGCAAATGGCACTTTGGGGGGGACACTCAGCCTCCACCGCCCCTCAACACTTGATCAGCCAGGGCTTGAATTACCACCAAAATTACACTGTCATAAAAACCCAATTGCTTAGTGCTTTTAATATGCTCTGAAAAACAAAATTGCTCTGCAAAACGAAACTGCAAGTTAGTGCTTCAGTTGTGAACCGTGGATGAGTGCTGAGTGCTTCTAGTGCAGTAAATTCAAGGTGCAACCACAGCCCCACAGAGCACCCACAGACTGCTGCTTGCTCTCTTTCTCCTCCTGAGGATTTCACAGACCAGCAGTAGCACTGCTAGGGGATATAGCACACTTTGGGCTCAGTGGGTCTTCTGCCTGCATTGAGGTAGAAGTCATGCATTTCCCAGGAACTCTCATTGTCACTAAGCTCAGACACCTGCCCAGAGACACCCCAGGGTTGTGCTAGATCAGGGACCTGAGCACTGCTAACAGACTGTCCGTTCTCAGGATGCTCAAGCCCAGCTCCCACGTGCTTTCTCCTAGCACAGCTTTGGGCTCCCCAGCACTCAGGTCTGGGTGCCTCTCAGCCCCTTCACCCAGGGGTACAGCTGGACCACAGCCAAGGGAAAGCAGGGAAGAATCTCTGACCCTTTGGCCACAGGCAGTTTCCGCAAAGCCCTTCTCCCTCTCCCAAGAGAAAAATCTCTCTTTGATGTGGAAGCTTTCTCCCATGTGCTGATCTGACTTTAATTGTCTCTCCGTGATTATAATCAAAGTCTAATTAAAAATGTGCTTCAGATTATTGTTCCACTTAGCCTGAAATCTGAAGATATGAAATGTGCTTTCTTGCTCTTTCTTTGCAGCATCTTTAACCGAACGGAGAGGCTTTAATCCCAGAGATAGTTTAGCAGGCAGGGCTCAGAGACCCCAGATGCTTCACTTACAATGTTCCATTCATTTTTCTCCTCTCAAGTGATCAGGGGCGAACAACAAGCTGATAATGAAGCTGTGTCTTAATGAAGCCAATGCTGCTGGTCTGATCTAGGCCTGGGGAGAGGGGAATTGCTGAGGGTGGTTCTCAGCAGACCTGGTAGTGCAGAGGCGTGCTGGCAGGTTGCCTGTCTTCCAGAGAGTGATACTTGGAAGGAGGCTGTAGGAGCTAGCCCTGGAGTAGAAGTGAACTGCAGGTTTCTCCCTGCCAGCATGCACTGGGATTTCATACAACCACATGCATCTGTTGTACACTCATAGAGTCATTTAAGCCATCCCCAGCTCTCACAGACCCCAGAGGGGCTGGATAAACAGAGCCACAGACGCCTCCCCTGCCACCCCTCGGCTTTGAGGTGACACCATTCACAGCCCTGGCTCTTACCTGCGTGACCTGCGGTGCCCATGGTCTCGTCTCTCCCTCCCTTTGACACAGCCATTGGTGGTGGAGGTCTCCCTGACCACGCAGCTGCTCAGCTTTTCAGGACGTCTGTCCTCCGCAGGGTACGGGAGGCAGCCGAGTGTCCCACTGCCAGAGCAAGAGGAGAAGAAAGAGAGCCATCAAGAACTGTCCCTTCAGCTGGGGTCACTGGCTGAGGGTTTCCCATGTCCTGGAGAATCTCCTTTCCTTTCCACAGGTAGGACCTGTGCTGCTGTGAAGGAGAGATGCAGGTTGCTCTCAGTGTCCAGCCCTGAAATTCTCCTACAAGGCTCCAACAAAATTCCCCATTTTCAGTCAAAGCTGCACCCCAGGCTTGCTGTACTCAGCACTCAGAGGTTCCATGAGTGTCATGCAGCCAGGGAGCAGCTGGACAGCTCCAGACTGTCCAGATCCAATCCAAGGGAGAAGGGAGAATGGGAGCTAGTCACGACATCTTCTCCTGCATCCTGGGTTTTAGATCACCAGCTCTGCCGAGACAGGACAGGCCTTGCACTCTGACAGAAAAAAACCTTTTGTATTTCAAAAGCAATTTACCAAACCTGTTATTGCCCTAATAATACCTTGCCACACATCTTCACCCTTCACTGGAAGCAAACTTTTGGCAGTCAAGGAGCAGCCCTTTCCCCTGCTCCTATAAATAGGGTGCTGGGCCAGTGAACACACCTGTTCGTGCTGAAAGCCCAACCTGGAGAACTTGGGGCAGCCCAGCAGAGCTAAGGGGAATCACCTGGGTCAGGTCAGTGCCTGCAAGAGCCCTGGGAAGACCACGGGAGCTGATGAAGATCAGAGCCACTGAGTGAACAGTCTTTAAGAAACACCAGGGCTTGTGCAAGCTGAAATGAAGCAAATAAGCCAAATGGAGAAAACAAACTCAAACAAGCCTGTGTGCAGACACTGGGGATGGAAGTAAATAGGTTTCCAGGTCTTGCAGATGTTTATTTCAAAGAATGGAAAGATTAATGAAAAGCCATAAGCTGTACCCAGCAGGGGTGCTAAGAACACTGGGGGTTTGATGTCATCCAGAGTATTATTTGAATAGATAAAACAAGTATTGGCATGTCCAGGCTCAGCCTGACTGCGGGTGGGTGTCCAGGGTGGGTTGAGTTCAGCTGGCACTGAAAGTGTCCCTGTTTCTTCCCATTACCATTCTGGAGCCAATCCCAGCACTGGGTTTGGAGTTTAGCCATCCATGCCCAGGTCAGCTCTGAAAGGTGCCACTGCTGTGTCTGCCACCCAACCTTCCTCATCCCTTTGGAAAGCAGCACAACTAAGCCCCCAGGCCGCATGGACCCCACCAGAGAAGGGGAAGGCTGGGATGTCCCCCTGCCAGCCCTGCAGCCATAGTGGAAGATACTTTGGGCTGCAGAGACCACCACAGCCATCACATGTGGGCCCCCTGTGGGGCCAGGGCTGCACATCTTGGGGGTTCAATGGGGCCCAGAGGGTGGTTAAAGAGCAATGTGATGTTAAAAAAGCCCCAATTAGGCATGAATAGAGTCTTGCATGTCCCAGGGAACATCCTGCTGCCTGCCTCAGCCACAAGCAACACGTTTTGGGGCTGGAGTTGGCACAGGGGCACCTGCAGAAGGTGTGTCTCCACCTGTTTTCTCTCTCAGCAAGCTCCCACTTTCACTAATAGCTGATTCCTCCTTGGAGCCCATTTTGTAATGCCTGAACATTTAAGGATGTGCACAGCCAAATACAAGGAACGGGAGTCACTGGGGGGAAGCTGGGTGAAATATTTCTGGCCAAGAACATGCAGGAGGTGATAGCCCCTTTGGCTTTAAAACTCTGTTACTCTGCTTGTAATAAATTCCCCAGTCCCTTCCCAACATCTACATTATTTTTAACCATCCAGGAAGCTACACAGTTAATCGCTGTCTGTCCTCTGTGCAAGCTAATTGGCTTGTGGCCTTTCCCGAACCCCTTTTAAGAACAGGCTCAATCATTAGGATCCATTAAAAACGTCCCCAAATTAATGACCTGTGCAAAGTCTGAGCTGGATCCACTCCAGCAGTGGAGGCAGGAGGGTTCCTCCCCGGGCTGGCAGCAGGCTGAGACACCACTGCCAGGACCTGGGCACGGCAGGCAATGTCCTTCTCACCCCAGCCCCCGCTCCCACTAATGGGATTTCCAGGTCCTGGGGTTAAAACATGTTGGCCTCGAGGCAGTCAAGGACTCCTGTCCTGCAACGTGCCAGGAACCGTTTCTTCTGGGCTTGGATGTAATTATCGATGGAAATAATTATTCTCCAATTCCATCAAAGGCTGGCTTCCATTCAACCAAATGTTCTCCTCTGATGGATGCTGAGAGTCCCTAACGCTCTAAACTGGCTGGTAATCCCCTCGCGTTGAGCTCCACAGACATTGATTGAATATATATATAAAACTGTATTTTTTTCTTATTGTCTTTGGTGTCTTTCATGACTGATATAAAAGTGATGCAGTTTGGTGTGAACGATTACTGTGGCCTCAAAGGAGGGATTATCACACATTCCCTGCTGCTCGTGCCTGCAGCAGGAAAGAAAAGCCCTCTGTGGGTGTTTTGCTGGAGCCGGCCCCAGGAGAGCAGTGAGGATGCTCAGTGTGATGCTGCTGGAAGTGCGAGGCTCACTCAGCCCAGAGGATGGGCCAGAGCAGGCAGGAAGAAGAGGAGACAAGAAGGATGCCCAGGGTTTGCTCTGCTAGGGGACAACACTGCTCCAACATCGGAGCGAGCACCACAGCCTTTCTGCCCAACACACGTTACATGTTTTTCCCTAAGGATGCATTCCTGGCCACGGGCAGCCACGCCAGGACAAGGCAGCTGCCCACACATCTCACCTGCCCTCCAAGTCTCTCCATTTCCATTTGGCTATTCAACCACTTGCATTCACTTTTCCTTTATTTCTCCTATGCAGAAATCCAGCCTATCCATCAGACCTGTCCAAAAGCAGCATGCCTGCTCCTGATGGGAGACCCCCCACAGCAGGGCACCTGTGGGCTGCCTGCCACTAGCTCAGTGCAGAACATGCCCTGTGCCACCTCCTGCCAAGGTTGGCTCACCCTGTCCCTTCCTATCTCAGCAGTCTCCGTTCCAGGAGGGGTATTTTGGGCTCATGGCAATTTTTGCCAGGGTTGCAGTGGCTCTAAGGGAAGCAGCAAGCACACAGGGCTCTCACCTCTCCATCAGCCCAAGCCTTTCACTGCTTTTCACAGCCCAGCCAGCCCATCTCCTCATTTTAGTCCCATATTTGGGCTCTCCTGTGTTTTCCTTCCCTAACAGAATGTATAGACAGCAGAGAGAAATGATCTATTACTACTCTAATAGACATGATGCAGGAAAGGTCACTGGTGGGGAAAAAAACCACAAATATTCTTCATTTGAAGGGGGGTGAAACCACCATAAAACACTATGTACATCTGGAGGAGAAGGGGTGGGTGGTGCCAACCTGCTGTGAGATGGGGAGGTCCCTGTTTATTTTTGCAAGATGCCTGAACTGCTTCCCACCAGGCTTTCCTAAAGGCACGTTACATTTCTGAATCCCACTGCCAGCAATGCCCCACAGAGCCCCATCTCCTGAGGCCACGCCATCCTGCCTCACTTCCCTGGGGAAGGGATGTCACCCTCAGTTTGTGGAGGCACCATGGAGGCCAGTTAACCACTGCCCTTCCTGCCCATGGATGGATGCTGGCACCCTCCAGAGAGGGTGGGACAAAGGCACAAGGCATTCTCTGCCTCAGGGAGCAGAGCTAACTCACAAATATCTCCATCCCTCCATCCCAGGCTGCCATGCTCCATGCCATGGCCAAGTGCCATCGCATCAGGCCATGAAATGTGGCGCTTGGTGACGCAGACTCCTCTGGGAGCTGAGCCCAGCGACACCCGTCCCCTCTGGCCTCCCAGGGACGTGCAGCCAGCGAGGGTTTGGTGTGCACTTGACATCCCTGTGTGCTGACACCCCGGCGCTGCCGGGCCGGGCACTGCCCTCCTCTGCCCGCAGGCTCCAGTGTCCCAGCCCAGCTCCTCTGTCCCAGCCCCACAGCAGTCTCCTGCCACAAAGCTTTTATCAGTCAGCTTTTTCCCCGCAGTAACTCATCTCAAGAGGAGACAAGAGCAGGAAAATTGTCTTCCTAGTGACCTTTCAGCTGCCGGACCCTGGCACCAGGCCATGTCCCCACCCACAGCCGCATTGTCCGTCACCTCCCCAGGATGGGCTCCAACAATCCCAGTCCCTGGTGGCCTTGCACATCCCCTCTGCCTTTCCCAGCTGCTCTGCAAGCAGCAGTGTAAGCAAACTGGGGCTGGATCATGCTAACCAAGCCCTTTTTTTTCCCCAGCCTTTATTTTCCTTTGCACACACAGCTGGGTCAGGTGCTGGATGCACCCGGCCGCAAACACAAGCACTTCAGAGGCCCCAGACACTGACTGCACTTGGCAGGCCTGCACTGACAGCACTTCCAAGCTCAGGGCAGAGGATCTTGGAAAACCAGTATAGAAACTTTAATACCTTCCCCACTTCAGCCCCAAGCAGCTCCAAGTTCCCATCTTCTCTATAGCCCCCAGTGAAAAGGCAGGAGCAGCTCGAGCCAACCAGGGCCCCGAAACAAAAAAAGGTTAAAGCATCTCTGATGAGCCTAATAGCTGTGAATGTTTAACTGGCATTAAATGATGATGGATGGATGCCCGGCCTGGGAACTGGGAACATCAGCCTGTGGAAGGACACAGGCATCCTGAGGGTAGGCAGGAGAAACCCGTGTACCCACAGCCACTCGCACCAGGGATGGTCTCGCCAGTTCTCCTGAGTAACATGCAAAAAGTGCACAGACAGGTGATGGAATACCTCATTTTTCCTCTCCTTTCCTCACTTGGAGGTTTTGGCTGTGCAGGAGAGGGCAGGTGGCTCTCTGCCATGGCCACATCCCATGTGCTTCTGCCCCAGGCTTCAGTAAGGGTGGTCTGAGCTGCTCAAATAATTTCTAAAATCCACCCTTGGGGCTGAGAAGCCTTTTGGCGCTGGTGAAATGACCCTTTGATTTTCCCTCTTGGTCTCCAGCTTTGCTCATCTGATTGAAAAAGAAAACAGTCAAACCGTTCCCTTGTCCCTG